TTGGCACTGCCGAAGGAGTTAAACCGGCATTCATGGCTGCAATCTGTGCACAGCTGAGCACGGAGCCATCGTGGGCTGGTCTTTCCCCGGTAGCTGTAGATGTAATTGAGTCAGATGGGCATTCAACTGGGTCAGCAAGGCAAGCTGTTTCTGCAGCCCTGCGAGGGCTGCGGGGAGGTGGCAGCACTCTGCCACGTGCTGAGGTGTGCAGAGTGTCCCCGACTCCTGCTGCTGGGGGAGTCCTGTCCCCAGGGGTGATCCACACCACCTCCCGGGCTTCATCAGCAGACTGGGGAGCACGAGAGTGACCTCTGACCGGACAGCTGCGTGCTCGCCCTGGGCTCTGATGGTTCTCCCATGAGCTCCTGCGGGAGGGTCCTTTGGGTCTGGGGTTTGGTGCATCCTTTGCAGCTGCCCCTCAGGCAGGGCTGGGACCCAGAGCTGGGACCAGTAAGCAAAACCCATCCCGGAACCCTGGGTGCAGCCCTGAGATTAATGTGGGGAGTTATTTATGGAGACATGTTTGTAATGGGCCCATGAATTCATGGCACTGTGGCGCTGGGTGCTGCTGCTGCAGCTGAAATTAATGCTCCTTAAATCACAGCCCGCGCAGCCGCCCCAGCGTGCCGGGACAAGGACAGCGCCGAGGACAGCAACGCGTGGCACAGCAGGCACAGGGCTGGGGCATTCCCTGTGCCCACACTGGGTGCTGCTCCTGGCACTGCTGCCCTGCCCATGGCAGGTCCCTGTGCTGACACTCACTGCACGAAGGGTTAACCACTAACCTGTTTTATTCTCCCCACACACCTCTGCTTAAATGCAAAAAGAGAAAAAAAAAAATCTCAACAGGGTGTTGTTCACTCTAAAAACCCTAAGCATGATTTGTGAACTCTCACAGCCTGGGTAATCTCATCAGAGTAATGGGATTATATTTCAAATCACCATGGCCTGTTCATTACACATTTAAACTCCTTTGACAGAGGAAAAGTTAAATAAAATGTGTGCGTCAGCCCTGGTTGACTTTCCCAGTTCTCTTTCTTGATTAGACAAACAGATGCTGAGCTCCAAAATGAAAAAATAATGTGCTCATTTATTCATTTTTCTGACAAGTCACAATAGATTTTTAAGCACAAATGAGGCCCCTCCCCGGGAGGGAGCGCCGAGCTGCTCACCGCACTGCCATGGGCGGTGAGCTGGGCGCAAGGTGTGGGGACACTGTGCCAGGCCCTGCCACCGCTGCCCGCCAGGTTCCCGGGCTGAGCAGTGCCACCACTGTGGGCCAGGTGGGCCAGCCCCACCACGGGCATCCACGGACGTTTGTGCATGTCCCACCCGGCTCTGCTGGCCCGGCCTGCAGTGTCCCCAGGCAGTGCTGGTGCTGCCAAGGCCATGGGCAGAGTGACCATGGGGATAGGTGCGACGCAGCCACGCCGAGCTCTGCCAGCTCCGTGTGCCGACCTCTGCGCGAGCGCCAGGTGTGCCATGGGGCCGTGGCAGAGCTCGGCCCAGGCATGTGCCAGTGCCCTGAATTCCGCGTGGGAGTCCTTCAGCCCTCAGCAGAGCACACGCTGCGCGAGGCGTTGGGGCTGAGCGGGCTGTGCCACCTCCCCACCGGGCATGAGGGTCTTGTCCCGGAGCACCAGAGCTGTCCTAGGGAGCTGAAATGCCAGATCATTAGGAATACACCAGCAAACCCCATTATTGTCAGGAGGCTGCAACTGCGTACAGTAATGAAGCAATTATTAATGAGCAACTGCGAGGCTGTCATTAATTTCAGCTTTTCAGGATCACAGACTAAGGCAAGTTAAATGCTGCAGCAGAGCTGGGCTGGGCTTGAGCAGGGCTGGGCTGAGCAGGGCTGGCTCCAACCCAGGTGGGCACAGTAGGATGTGTTGCCATTCCCACCATGGGTGGGACATCCCATACCCACAATGCCAGTCCCAGCCCTGTGCCCGCCCTCGGGCACAGGGAGTTCCTTCCCTCTGGTGCCAGCACCAACCCCCTTCGTGTCACCAATAGTGTCAGGGATGGGACAGGGTGGTGGTGCTGCTCCATCCAGTGTGGCACGGACATGGTGCCGGAGGCTCCGGCGCTCCCAGGGGCTCAGCTCCCCCACCAGTGCCAGCCCCGTGCCGCAATCTGTCACGGGCTGGGGCTCGCCTGCGCTGCAATATGTACCTCGTGTCTGGGCTGTCATCGGACATAATTCCTCCCTGCTGGCACATTGCTGATTTGTGCATAAGTGATGCGTGCAATCCACCTGAGCCGGGAGTCAGGGGTGCCTCGATCCGGCGCTGTCAGGGCAGAGTGTTTTAGTGCCTCCTGCGATTAGCTGGAATTGACAGGCCCTGAGAGCGGGAATTGCACAACAGGGGAATTAACAGCCAGGGCTGGAGTGGAGTGTGGCACTCGTTTAATCTGCAATTTATCAGTTTGCGTGGCTCCTTGTCGCAGCCGGAGATTACACTCCAAAAAGAGACGGTGCCTTCTTTTTGTGATTCCACCTGACAGGGACAGGGCAGAGCAGCGTCGGAGGCCACTGGGAGAGCTGCTCCCGTGGGAAGGGCTCCCTGGGGAGGGATGAGGTGGGAACGGTGCCCATGGGCTGGGCACGGCAGGCACAGCAGGCACAGCAAGCACGGCGGCAGTGCCTCCCCATCCCGTGCCCGCTCGGAGTTTGATAATGTCATTAAAGGCTGATAATGGTTTCCAGGAACTCTGCAGCCTCTCCGCGAGGTGACAGCCTGTAAAGGCAGCGTGACAGATAATGTATTCTGCAGGGGTGCAATAATGTGACTCCGAGCACATTAAACTCCTCTCACGTGGGTGACACACACCTTCCTCCTCGCGCGCACTGCCATCCCTGGGCACAGGCAGCGGTGCCCCCGTGCCAGCCGCGCTGCCCTTCCCCAGCACCAAGGTGTTAAACCACACGAGGCAGATGCTCCCACTGCATGTGGGTGATCTCCTTGGCCTTCCTTGGCGTCCTGCTCTGAGACCGAGAACCTTTATCCAACCTCGCGGTATCAAAAGATTATTTATAATGAATTAAATACGTTTTTAGCAGCTTCTTTCCACGCTTACTGCCACACTCTCACTGCCACTTCAACTTAATTAGAGAGGTTCGCTAAAGAGATGGGAATAAATGCATCTCTAGGAATATATCTATGTCGAAATGAAGAAAGCCGCCACCGCAGGTCAGAGCAGTCCTTTCAATTTATTGCCCTGGTACATTCATTTGTAAATAGCTTTGCCTTGCTGGTTTCTAAGTGCAAGGCTAATGTTGGAGTGCTTAAATTAATAGTGACGCACACCTTTCATTATTGCTATTAAATTAGGTGCTGGGCTTTGATGGATTCACTTGTTGCTGAACTAAAAGCCTGGTGGATGTGGGTGTGTGTATCCATTCGGTTTTACAGCAAGTTTAGGTCCTAATGTCACGGCAGGCAGAGCCAAGTGGGTCCCTCCTCAGCACACTCCAATTAGCAGGAGGCACCTCCCGTGCCCTCGCACCGGAGCTGGAGCTGGGCAGGGTGCCCCTCACCCTGCAGTGCCCCTGGGCTGTGTTCCAGGGCCAGCACCCCTCAAACTGGGGGAGCT